TATATATGCGTGTGTGTGTGTGTGTGTACGCATATATATTGCAATGTTCATATATGTATATGCGTAGAATCATAGAATCATACTTGTAATTCGGTATTATTGTGTGATGAAATCGTCCCCAAGTATACCTGTTGTTCACTGGTCTAAACCTATATGGATCGCTACTCTATTTTCCCTACAGCTACACAAAAAGGGGCTATTTGTTGCAGGTGTGAATCAGTTCTCATTCGAAGAGTGGAACAACCGACTCCAAAACTCATTCGAGAAGCACTTTTTCATCCCCCAAGACGCGGCAGAGGATTCGCAGTACAATGTGGGTACGTAAGAGCATATGTATGTGCACGTGTGATATCTTGCACTCAAGCATGGTTGTTTTGTTTGGGCAACCACACATGTAACCATGTATGATTTTGTGCCTATGTATGCTTGTATATATGCACAGTTCAACCGGACAACGCAAGTACGTGAGAACGTCTCTCTGCGGACAAGTGACCGTCCATTAAACGCGCGAGATAATGTACGTGCGGCTTAGTATAAGAGTGACTCCCAATTTCACGCGTTAGTCTTCTTGTGTACCTATGGGATCGAAGGGAAGTATGTGTGCGTCGTCGAGTGTGTGTGTTTTTTCTTCCCTTTTGGATGGTGGGTCTGCCAAGGGGGAATCGTAGAGGGCTTCCGAGGGATAATACATTCCGAGGAGAAGTAGCTCAGGGAAGTAAGATCCCTCCCTTCAAATTTATGATTCGCTAAGGGATCTCGCGCCACGCGGGGATTTTACTATGAAAGTTAGATTTTATATTGAAGAATTGTCTCAAACTCCTTCGATAGAGCAGAGTTAGTTGCCTTTTAAATAGACTAGACTCTTTGGTACCCTGTCTATTTTGGGTTGGATGGAATACGCCGACACAGGGATATGGATATCTATCCTGTGAATGTATGTGCCTTGCCTGTAACTTTGCATACTGCCTCTTGCAATCATGTAGCTATTAGTAGTCATACCCACCCCCTAAAGACCGCCAGGGCATAGGTACCTATTAAGCCAAGAAGCACGCAGCCCATGCACAAATATAGTATATTAGTACTTATCGAAAGATGTTTCCTTGGTCAACCGCCGCTGTGTCTACCTGGAGTGTACTTCGACGCACACTAGCAACTACCTGTGCACACTTACCGGCACATTAACTACAAATCTATTGTGATCATCCCAAGCACCCATGTGATACTAAATGGTACATACAGGCATATATGTGCGAATTTGTATACATTATATATATATATAATAGATATATATCGATATTATATATATATGTATATGTAAATATATGTATATATGTATATATATAAGTAGATGTTTATATATATTAACACGGCGTATGCTCGATCATCGACTACAGACCCTTCTATTGTCAACCGCCGCGGCGTGTATAAGGACACTGACGGGTCTACCCAGAAGTACACAGATTATCAGTTGCGGCCCAATGTCTGTATAGCGTTGGCAGTTGCACCGGAGATGTTCAAGCCCGAACACGCACAGCAGTGCATAGAGGTGGTCGAACAAGTGCTGCTGGGACCTTTGGGAATGGCTACGCTGGACCCATCGGTATAGATTTCATATTCTATATTTGTACCGTGTACTGATATTTGTTCATATACCCGGATCGTTGGATGCTGAACCCCTAAATTATGGTACTATGTATTGTGTGTCTGTTCTGTTTATAGGGTAGCGGTTCATGACAGCTATACAGTGTTTTACAATGAATGTGATATGAACATGTAGTACATTGGGTATTGACTCCACTCCTGTACTGTATGAATAACCATCGCGCGTCATGTATTTTTGTCACTATATATTCAGCTATTGGCGTGGGCACCATAGCTTCTCGTAAAGGACAATAATCTAGAAGTCTATGTGGTTTTTACCTTACAGAGACCTCCCCCTTAAAATATGTATGTTAGTTTATTCATACACTGATCTTGATGAAGGCGGTGGTGTCGAGGGTTCCACTGTGCATGTGCGGTGCTTGTATTTAGTTTTTATTTTGTATAGTATGCACGTCCCAAGAATATATGTTGGGCAGAGCACTGTAGTGTAGCTGCAATTCTCAATATGTTGTCCCGCATACACAACATTAACATAATACACATATACATATCACATAGATTTACAATCATAATCATATATTAATCATGTATATACATATAGGACTGGAACTATCGGGGCGACTATGATAACGCCAATGATTCAGCCGACTTCCACATTGCGAAGGGTTTGAACTATCATCAGGGTCCCGAATGGGTATGGCCGGTGGGCTACTTCCTGAGGGCCAAGCTTAATTTCCAGGTAAATCTAAGCGTCACTTTGTCGTGTTTTACTTATAGTGCGTCCTTTGGATGACTATTGTAAACAATCAGACTAGTTGGTGGTAGGTTCTGGCGTCACGTGGCGCATTGGTTGAACACTATTGGGATAACATAACCTATATTATTCTTCATACTCAGACTTTCGACGCGAATCAGAAGAGGCTATGTTACGCTAGGATTGGCGGAATAACTGTCAACCACCACAAGCACATCACTGACAGTGTGTGGCGGGGTCTGCACGAGCTAACCAACAGTAATGGACAGGTACGTATCTCTAGAGTACAATTCCTCTACCGATAATTTATGTCAAGTAAGTACTCGGTGAATGATGTATAAAATGCGAGTCTATTCTACGTGTCTTACACGTTAATCTCTGTATTGTCGTGAAGCAATGGTTTTGTATTTACTGTACATGACTGGGGTTGTATTCGTATAGTTGACTGCATGCAACCCAGCGGCGATCTCTGACTGTACGTACTAGTCTACTACTCTGTGAGCGCATGCAGAATAATTCTTTCTGCATCTATTGTGACATACATGGTTTCCAGGACTTTTGGTTGATCTTTTTTCTTGAATGTGGAAAAAACCAACAGTTGTGATTCAACTTATATTTGGGTCAGGTTCTGGTGGGTAGAGGTTGGTGCAGTTTGAAGCGATGGCTGAATGTGTAAACATGTGAACACCGTGGCAATGATCGTTCTAGATTTATGAGATTTTATCAAATATAGGGCTTTAGAGCCTCGTATTAGACGTCGTGAAACACATGCGAAGCAACTATACGATACAATCAGATACTTATTAACCTACTCTACCCGTGCTTCTACCAGAACTGCAACGACAGCAGTCCCACACAGGCATGGAGCACGTCGTGTCTGTTGGATGCCTTCTGGGATGCTGAGCAAGGTCTCAGTCATATTCAGAACACCAGATAGAGCTCACCGGACACGGAAGGGGCTTGTTTGATGAATCTCAGAGGTGTCTTGTCCACATTCATATACATGTCAGTAATTAACGAACGGCATATCGAGTGCAGACCATCATATAATTCTTTACTAAAGTAGTATCAATAAAGCTCTAGATATTATTTTAACTACGAGCTATTGTATATTCAATTTGTGAAGCATATCCAGTTTATGTGAATAAATCCGCAAAGAGACCCTTTTCCAGCACCGGAGTTGTCTCCCAACTAAAAACGTGGGTGCTCGTAATCGTTGCTGGACATATACGCATTTGCTTGTAGTACACATGCACGGATAGCTTAACAGAGTATCGATGGAGGTACAATAAGATACTCTTTGGAGGTGTGTCTCGCAACATCAATGACTTTTCAATATATTATATAATAAAATATGTTGTACAATTTCACTATCGAATCAAGCGTATCTCTGCAAGCGCAGATATTATTATGCACTGTAGTAGATTGTGTATATTCCATAAGTCCTCGCATGACGCCATTCAACTATCAAGCAATGTGAAGCAGACAAATCGTACTTGTGCTTTGATGTGATAACTGACTGTACCTTTCTCGACTCGCAGAGCTAGAATAGCTTCAGACGCTCAATTAAGTTTGCAATACTATTCAATTTAAAAGCATAGCTGTCCGAAGTCTCACACATCCTTAGCCCAGAGAATTGAGTTTGATTGCCATGCATCTCTTGCACCATTGTTTCGAGTAGATGGTTTGTTTGAGCTATATAAAGTGCAAACAACCTCCAGATTCTAAAGTTCAATAGTACACATGTACGCAACCAGATGACATGCAATAGTACATCATGCCTTCGACGACGTACAGATAAAAGGTAATTTCGACAGTGTTGAGTTGCATTCATTGTCAAAGAATAGGAAAACAGTATCTCGGCAGTGTTGCATGCATTGTACGCCTAAAATATTTTGCACCAGATCGGTTAATACGCGATTCACTCAGTCGGTAAGTGAATACTTGGGTTTAAATCGTTACTACTACTCGTGAATTGCAAAAGTATCACACACAGCTGCCCGAATTACCGTGCATCAATAGCTCAAAGAACTCGCTTCAGAGTACGTTTTCTAGAAAATAATCAGGCACACGGCTACTCTCAGCTGATGCTCAAAAAGATATCATTTTAAACACTGAAGTTTGCACGATGATAATTTCACCGTGCTGTGAAAAGGTTGTGAAAGCGGGACAAAGAAGTATTCACGTTGAGGTGGACATACGTCTGATTGGATTGTGCCACGGCGGGGGTAATCTAAATTAGACAACACTCGCCAGAACAACACTTAGTTGCAAGGAATCGACCCGATTCAGATCTCAAAAGACTGGATTGCAGCGGAATGCTGCAATTGCGTGAAAAGGGCATTTTTTAACGTAACGGTAGACTTGAGAATTGAAAGTCGTGAGTGCAATCGTGGAGCCCTGTAGTGATGGAGTATTTATGTACCAGTATTTCTCTTTCTATAAAATCTTCTATACTCTCTGTTCAAACCCAAAACTCGGCTAGAATTTAACCTAGAAGGGATTTTACTACTGCAGCATAATTTGAGAGAAAATGAGCTAGTATGGAACCACCTTCCGCCGAATCGCGAGCAGTTTCCCGGCAATTAAGACATACTACGCTACCCATGTGCTTGAATCCCCACGCACTAAATGGCACGCCAGTGACAACATCTTCATCATTCATAACACGAATCTGGGGAAATTGATTGTGAAAACGGTCTGATGTACCAACGTCGAGAGAGCGTGGTGATGCAAACGTGTATAACTCCACCGCGACCTGGCCATACTGGTGGTAAGCGGCTGCTAGTACTGTGGGTATACCGGCTCCGCGACTATACGCGACGAAATTCAATTTGAATACTCCTGAGCAAGTCTGGTCGACAAATCCTTTCACTCCGAAGGTAAAGTATTCGTTGTAGCCGTTTACAAACCCATCAAACGCAAGTCCCACATATTGACCCTCATAGTATATATCTTTCAATCCGAGATTCAAGTTATCGATCCAATCTTGAGTATCACCAGATCCTGCGATCGAGATCCAGCACTCGTTGTTAATTACATTAACACTCAGCGCTTCATTGGAAAAATCTATCGGGTGAGAAGCCCCCGCGATACCGGCAGCGGTGACAACCCTACGTTCGTATGCTGGCGATATCGATTCAGTAACATATGGTGTCTCACTCCAATCCTCATTGTCAAATGTCCAGGCCCACCATCCCATACTACGGGACTGAGGTCCTAGCTGCATTTTGATAGTGACCATGTCATCGGTGTCGGCTTCATTGTCTGCAATTATATCTAGGCTAACCTCTTCGCGACGTACAACGTTCACGGCAGCTCCTGCTACAATCAGGGACTGACATAGGATTCCGATGATAACCATACAGTACATAGTTCAGTGACCTGATACGTGCGCGGTGGATGAGATGTGTGACTTCATTTCCCTTACGCCTTCAATTTTATAAGGGCGTTGGTCCTTGACTGTGGGGGTTTTTGAGACCCAGTCGGGCCAGTTCGCAAAGGGCGCAGCCCCAGACTCGGCTGTGCCCTCGGCCCCTCTGGGTCCTGGGGTATAAGACTGCAGACCCTCGGAAAAAAAATTGCTAAATACCCTGGCCTGGTATACGACAAAGCCGTGTCTTCCTCTAACAAACTAGTTTCGGGAAGTGTTTTCTTAGGGGAAATTCATGACGTATTTCGGACTTCTGACTGTAATAAAAGACATAACGTCCGGACATGTCGTCATAGCGAAGTAGTTTCCGACGGTCTTAACATGTCATCATAGCGAAAACTGCAGTCTTAAGAGCCAGCCCAGTAAATATCCCGACATGTCCAGTTAGAACTCCGATATTTACTTATTTCGAGACTATTAGACGACATATCGAGGCAGGTCGGAAACTAGTTTGCGAAGATGACATGTCATTGAGGTTTACCAGGCCAGGAAAATCAGAGACTCTGGAGTCTGGACTCTGGACACTGGAGTCGGGGACTGGGGCTCTGAGTCAACTTAATGTTTTCAGAAAAAAACCGAGGAGACGAGAACAGAACCCCGTGATCAGTGCGAGGCTGTGACCCTGTTAAACTCTGAACAGTGGAGAATGAAAAGTGTACGTAGACTTTAAACTTCATTTAGACTGATGAAGTGAGTGAAGAGTGAAGACAGTGAAGCCCTGGGTGCCGGGGCCGGGGCCGGGAAAAACTTTTTTTATTCCTTTTATTTATTTATTTTTAAACCAAACAAAAGCATAAATTTCTGGGACCTGGGGCCTGGGCCCTCTTTCTCTGAGTCTCTGAGTGAGAGAGCTACATACTATTAGTAGAAGGACAGTCACGGACAGTCACCTGAAAGGCTGAAACCGTGAAAGATCATAATTTGGGTGTTTTTTTTCAATACTCAAGTGACGTAACAAGGGCAATGGTTTACTCTTAATACCCAATTGGTCAAAATATGAATCTAAAATTCTACTCAAGTGTTGGAATTTTCATCTTAAAGCTAGAAAATTCATAATACATTCAATCAGTATGCAGTAGTGTGACTCTTAGATTTGATATTGACTCTTGAGAGAGAGAGAGTCTCAGAGAGAGTATTTACGTACTATGTAGTATTTTTTTTAAACAACTTTGCTTTCAGTCACTTCTGTCTTCTGTATAGTGTATTATATAAAAGTATCAATCCTATAGGTATTTTTAATTATTTGTTGTACTGTACTAATAAATTTACTATTGCGCGCGCCGCACGGCCCCACGGTGGCACGGCTCCACGACCAATTTACCAGACACAAGAGAGTGATTTATGGTGCCTGAAGACAAAATTTAAATAAATACCAAAGTGATAAAATATAGGGACTAGGGAGACTAGAGAGAATGTAGCGGAACTTTTTTTTAAATTTTTATTACTATAATTTTCTTTAAAAACAATAAAAAAAATATGAAAACTATACATTTAAACAAACAGTGCATATCGCCTGGACAGATTTCCAAAAACATTGAAATATATTTTTTTACAAAACAACGAAAACAAAACAAAAATCACAGTATGTAAATATTTATATTTTACTCATACGGGGCACTTTCAGACTTCGTCTATACGACACCCGTCCCTATAAAATTATTAATGCCCGAGGCCCCGAGCCGCATCCGGTCAATTCGCAAATGTTTTGGGCCCACGTATGGCGACTTTGGCCTAAGTACCGAACTATTAAGCATGAACGCTTCAAAAAAAATTACTCTGATACAACAGTCAAGTATCAATTATCGGTACATAATCTACACCTATCACCTGAAATAGAATACAACGCCTCGGACTACAGAGAGCTAATGTTCTGTGAACCCTGTGAGCGTGAATTTATAACAATATCGCTTCACAGCCTTCTTCTAAATTGTGCAAGAGAAGGCTATGTACGATCGTGCACTGTAGTTCACTAAGTTGAATTTTGTTTTGTCCCATTCTGTTTGTAAATTTCAGGTCCAAGGGATTTTGCCCTGTTCTGTGATTTCATTAACCGCTAATTCATTTTTTTAGAACATAAATTCAAAACAAATTCACTCGGTTCATTTACATAGGAATACTAGGGCTCCGGTGTTAACACTTTTATAGTGACGGGTGTCGTATGGACAAAGTCCGCGTATAAAATATAAATATGTGAAACTGCAAACTATTATTATCAAAACAAAAAATCAGATGACATCACAGGATCTGTTATGGATAGAACTGCCAAAAAACGCCAAGAAAATGAGTCGGCGAATAAAAAATGGTGCAAATACAGAGCAAAATTTGGAGAAAAAACCATGGCTGACCAATGACCATAAACGAACGTTATTGTGTAGACCCAAAAAATTTCTGCAATTGTGGCAAAAACTAAACATAAGACACACACATATACTGACGTACGTATACACACACGTGTACACACACATATACATCCATATACATATACATATTCATATTATACAGAGAGATATATATATATATATATATATATATATATATATATATATATATATATATATATATATATATATATATATATATATATATATATATATATATATATATACGTATATAAATATA